ATTTACAAGTCTTTGATTCCGATGAAATCTTGACGGTTAGGTTTCCAATTACCCTTAATCGTGGACCCATCTTGTCGGTTTTCCCAAATCCAACTCCCAATCTAGGGTTTTTCGCATTTCAACCCATCCCCCACAATTCTTCGGTGTCAGTTGAAGATTTACAGTTTTTGAGATTGCTGTCTTTGTTACACAACAAATTTTATAGTTCTGAGAATTGATTGGTTATTCTTATGGTACAATCCTTATTCTCCTACTTGTAATCTTGGGGTTTGATTCGCTTGAATGTTCTATGCTGCTTTGTGTTCTACCTAAATTTCAGCTAATGATTGAGTTGCTCAATTATTTAATTGAATTATAACATGTTTATTTTGTTGTTAATTTGGTTGCGTTTTAATTATATTTTGGAGAAAAGCAGATCGGTCAAGGTATTGTTAGCTTAGGGTGGTGGAGGTGACTGCCTTTGCATTTGTTGCTGTAAACTTGGGTTATAGAAATGTTGGTTCTCCGTCACGGTGGATTTTATATGGGAAACTGTTTCTTTCGTTTGGATTATCATTTTGTGTAGAAAATGAACACACGACATGACTGAGAAAAACCCAGATCTAGGTTTGAGAGAGGAAAGGAGAAGAGAGAGATAGAGAAAGAATAAGAAGAAGAAAGAAGGAGGATGAGCAGGGAGGAGGAAAGGAGGAAGAAGATGAAGTTTGAGAGAGAAACCCAAATCCCAGATCTGGGTTCGCAGAGGTAAGGGAAAACGAAAGGTAAAGGAGAGAGAAAGTGAAAGAGGAAGAAAAGATGAGGTGGATAAAAAAGAAAATATTAGTATTTTTAAATTAAATAAAAATGCCAACTCATAGGCCAACTATGTTTTTTTTCCACGTCATTAGTTACGAAAAAAAAAGGAATTGATTTACTGGCAAGTTAACGTGACACCTGTCATTTAATTGACGGCAGGACTGTTTTGGTATCAAAAATAAAAATTTAAGGATAATTTTGATATTTTTTAAAGGTGAAGGACAATTGTGGTACCAAATTGAAAAGTTGAGGGACCAAAATGGTACTTAAACCTAAAAAAAGGGGTTAGGACCGACCGGCCTGTGCGGTGGACCTGTTACAGTCTCAGTTTGATCAAACTGGGACTGTCGGTCCAAGGTTGACCCGGCCCAATAGTGACCCACTTGCCATCTCCCAGGTTCGAAAAGGGCGGTCAATTAGCTCAGTTCCCAATTTTGATGGTGATAAGCCGAACAAAATTGCGTTTTGCACTAGTTTTAAGAGCTCCAATTGCAAAACACTAACAGTTACATTAGAAGTGGTTCCTTGATAATGATAAAAGAATATTTTTATTTAATAATTAATGTTTTATAACTTAAATTATAAAATATTAAAATTTAAGTTAACATATCACGCTATGCCTAATTTTTACTGAAATCCAAAAAAAAAAAAGGAAAAAAAAAAAAAGCCACACAAGTGCACAACCTATATTCACTAGGGTTTTGAGGATGTGATTATTAATAAGATAATGTCTGACAGATAAAATTTTATTAATTATTTGAAGCCAGACTTACTAACTAATCTTTTGATTTCAAACTTACCAACCAAACGAAGGCAATAAAGTAAAAAAAAAAAAAATACCAACCTCTAATCTTTAAAATAACAATAAAAAAAATTACATTGCTACATGGTTTATCGGAATTTTTATTGCAGAAAATTTTATTAATTTCCTTGCTTATCGTTGACCTAATGTTCAAGTTTGATGTAGAATGTGATTCATGGTTTATTCTTGTTGTAGCACTGAGTACTAAACACAGACCGAACTCAAAGTTCTGTATGCTTCACCTTCCTTTCTCACATTGCATATACTATTTCTCCATTATGCATTCCATACAAACCCATTTGTAGTGTTGTACGGGGGAAGAGAACCTGCCGTTGAATTTGTTCAAACATGCGGGCTTGATAGACGGACTCATTTTATAAGCACTTGTATTTTATTAGTTTAGTTGTTTGAAATAATTAGTAGTTATTTTTTTTAGCCGGGTTGATAAAAATATTTAAATTA